TTTGAAAAATGTCAACTCAGATCATGTGCAACTTTTAAATTAAGATTACTTGTTTTTGTTTTTACTTTTTATGAGTTCTTGATATTCTGGATACTAACCCATTTTCAGATGTCTACATGGCAAGTGCTGTGTCACATTCTGAATGCTGACACTGCCTTGTCAATTTTCCTTGCTATGAAGAAACTTTTTAGCTTAGTACCATCCAAGTTTTGAAAACTTTTTGCTTTTGTTTCCTGTGGTTTTGGGTTCCTATCCAGAAAATCAATGCCTATCTCAAATGTCTGATGACATGTTTTCCCTATGTTCTGTTCCAGTAGGTTGAAGTCTTATATTTAGGTCACTGATCCATTTTGAGCTGATTTTTGGTATAAGGTGGGAAATAGGAGTCAAGTACATCTTCTGAATGTAGAACCAGTTTTTACAGAATCATTTATTGATGATGCTGTCCATCACACAATGTGTGATGAGTCAGTTGACTTGGATGCATGGATTTATTTCTTAGCTGTCCACTTGTGTCTGCTTTTCTGCCAACACCCTGATGTTTAGCTTGTCCGTCTATGTAGGATGTCTTAAAATCAGATATTGGGATGGGTTCTGCTTTGATCTTTTTGTTCAAGATTGCTTTAGCTATCTGGGCTTTTCTGAGCTTCCAATCTATAGATTGCTATGGGTAGTACGCATATTTTAACAGTATTTGTTTTTCTAATCCATGAATGTGTAGGCCTTCTCACTTTTTTAGTGTCTTATTTATGTCATGAGTGTTTAAAATTTTCATTATAGTCTGTCACTTTCCTAGTGAGCTTTATTTCTAAATATTTTACTTATTTTTCCATTATGAACTGGATCACTGTCGCAGCCACAGTGGCTCCTTTTATCACAGAACTCACCATAATTTGCATTTAAGTATTTCTGATAGATGTGTTTTCCCTGACCTGACTTTTCAATCCATGAAAACCAAAACATGTTGCTGAAGAGTGTGTGTGGGTCTTGCTTATGGGGAGTTTAATAAACAGGGGAGGAACTAGGGATGGATCATTCCCATGGACCTCATTCTTCATCACCACCTGTGCTCCCTCTCTCCATGTGCTAATTCTTATGCCTTCAGATCATCCTCAGTCCACTTTATCTTAAAAAGGTGATCACTGTTATGTCTGGTTATCGTGTAGTTCCCTCCATGGCCATCATCTCTATACTTACATTTTCTCTCTACTTCAGTCTGCTATTGGAGTGGTTGCTTTAAAGATGCTATGTGTTCCACATTAAGCCCAGGGGACCAAATTTCATCCGTATTGTCTTTGATATTTGTTTTATAACCTGAGGGAAATGGGTAACTTCAAAATTATTTTCTGGTTGAGTTTCTTTAGTGATCTGTTTTCGGTTATGCTTCTTCCTTCTTGGTCCTTATCTCTTCTGACTTCTGTTTTTGTATCTATGTACAACCCTTTGGAGCACTCAGCTACACTTTCAGCAATATAATGCTCATTTGCTAATTTGACAAAAATAGCAACTCATGTGACTGTGGCACTGTGTTCAGTGTTGTTCACACTGAACAGGAAGCACTCATCCTGTTAGCATGTAGGATCCAGCAAGAAGACTGGAATAAATAAACGACACAAGGAATCATTTGGCTACACTTGACATAGCAGAAGTACAGGATGTCGTCTAGGTGGCTCTTGAAAAAGCGCATTTTAGTCAGCTTAGAAAGACTACTGGATTTTTTTTTTCTCCTAGCAAAAAGAGAAGAACCATTTAAGCTATATTGGCCATAGGTGAGCAAGAGCTTAGAACATGGAAACCAGGCCAGCGGCACTGGAAAGGAGAGATCAAGGCAAACATGGGTACAGGTGTAGCCAGAGAAGATACACACTCATGCAATAACAGCTACATTTATCAAGCACTCATTGATAACGTAACACTGGAATACATTTTATAAGGACCCCATGCCGTGTAATTCTCGTATAGAGGTAGGGATTTGCATCCCTATTTTACATATAAGAAAGTTAGAATTAGAGAAATTAAATAATTCATCTATGGTATTATACTTCTGGAAAGGGAATGAAATAATAATTTCCTATGTTTTGTCATGCTAATATTGAAAACAATGTACTCAAGCTCCCTGGTTACAAATCCTAACTCTAAATTTTTCTTTTACATTATCTTTTAAGGCTTAAGATGAGATTTAGGTACTCAAATGAACAATGAAATTAATGCATAAGATAACTAGAAAGAAAACTCCCTGAAATAAACCTGTCAAAAATACAATGGTACAAGCTCAACAGAGAAAGACAGTCTGATAAGTCTGTTTTAAATCATCATAAATTTCATCGCAAATGCCCAGGCAAGTAAAAATAGCGTAAGAACTTCATGAAATCTTTTTGATAATTTAAGGATTTCATTGTAGTCTGTCATAATGTCATTTTGATTTTTAAAGTTAATTACGCCAGTTTGTGGTACCTACAGCTGGTGATACATTTAATAAACATCTATGCCTGGTATTGATTCTTCCAATTAACCAGTACACCTTGAAATAAAATTTATAACTAGTTCCAAAAACTATCATGCGCTTCGAGTTTACTATTATTTTACAGTTATGACTACGCACCCACACTCATACACAAGACACAAACCAGTGGTTCTTTACACAGTCACAGATTATAAAAATAGCTGTACCTTACCATGGACTATCTGTCATGGACGCAAGGTACATTCACTCACTCTTCTGCAAGTCTGGCAGGTTTTACCCTCCTAACAACTTTTAGCCTCAAAGTTCCCAGGCATACCAGCAACTCTCACTTATTGTTCAACAAGAACATTTAAAATATAAACCAACTGCAACACTGTTAATAACCTACTGCAGTGGCCAAAACTGAATCTGTTGCCTAGATTTTAAATTCTAAAGGTTCAAAGTAGAAAATGAATATTTGTCTTTTAACTTTTAGAAAACTTCTCTTACTCAAAGACAGAACACATGGAATGGAAGGGACTAAGAAGAAGTGAAGATGTGTCTTACAAAATGCATACTAAAAACCTACCTCTTCAGAGTCTGTTAGAGCTAGGGTATCACTCTTTTGAATTCCTAGGCTTCAAAGTTATGGAAATGCGTTAAAATATTTCTGCAGGTTAAGTGTTAAGTAAATCAATGGTAGATTTGGAGGAAAAAAAAATCACAGATACTCAAATTTTACAGTACTCATTTTTAAGTTTTATATATTTATATTAGGATATTGTACAGTTTTCGAAGCTAACAACAGAATCTTTTTGTATGTGTATTTAAAGCATAACAAAATAAAAGTCTATTTCACAAAAGAAGTTCATATTACAGTACTATTGAAATATGAGGCATAGAGTAATTATGCACTTATGGGTTATAAACAATACATTCATTTTAAAGAATAAACATTTAATGTGAATAGCAACATTTTGGTTAAAATAAATATCATGGTAATGTTAACAGCAACACCTGAAGTATATGGATACAAGAAAGGTGTTTTGTGATAGATACTATGCAGAATGGTAGCGCATACATGAAGTGGCTACAATATCTTACTAAATTTACAATCATTGCACATTGTTGAGCACTTTTATTTATATAGGGATACCCTTCATTCACCATTTTTTAACCTTAGCATACAAAACAAAGTCACTACACAATTTCCCTTGGGTATCTGGTACCAATATCTAAATAAAATTTAAATCAGATGCACATTTCATTTTACTGCTTCTCAAATCAATTTAAATGTTTAATCTAATACAAAACTTACTTATAAGTAGAAATATACAAAGAACATTTTATAGGTGATTATAAAGATTAGAACTCCTAAACATCCCCACAATTCTTTGAAATCATCTCATTCAAAATTAATTTTGTTTTTACACTGGTTTCCTTTAGAAAAAATGTGAACACTTGGATTAAAAAAAAGATACAATATCTGACTGGTAGAAAATAACAATGTATTTTCTGACCATTATATCATTTCCAGCTATTTATTTTTAGCACATAGATTCACTGAAAAGGAAAGCTTACATCTTTACTTAAAAGTCACTATGAGGATTAAGCTAATGAATTTTAGATCCACGTATTTTTAAAGACTGGAAGAAAAATGAGAGTGTCCGTTCCAACCAGAGGACATTTCCTTTCATTACATTACAACGGACATGACACTAATGGTCAACAGAAACAAGTACTCATATTGTGATATAAATCTTTGATGCTCAGTGTGAGTTTTCTGAGTCCCAGGATCCAGGACGAGCTGCATCCTACCTTCATAAGAAAGACCAACCAGGATTCCTTTGCCTAGTCCTTGATAAAACTGCCTGCTAGGTATCATACAGAACCACTTAAAATCTGGAAAGTAGAAGGTTTTAAAACTTTTTGCCCTTTATATATTTTTAAAGTTTATAAATTCAAGTGAGTGTAAGTACAAAACTATGTGGAAAAACAAAACCAGCAGTTACAATATTGGCTGACACAGGTGTTCCCTGAAGCTGAGGTTTTCAGGCTGGCAGGATAACCCGTCCGCAGGTCTTCAGTGGCACACAGTGACCTTTAACAGTGACTGCCACTTGGCTTTTGGCTTTACAATTCTGTGAGGAACTGGTTGCTGCAATATGAAGGCATTCAAGGAAAAAATCTCCACAACAGCATTTACTAACTCTGCTCCTTTCCTTAACTAAAATAAGCATTACCCTCTGTCATCTTCATGCACAAATACAGTACTTTGCTCAAAAGCATCTCAACAAAATGTTATTCTTATAACAATTCTGGCAGTAGCAATGGCCAGTTTTCATGTCTTTGAACATATTCTAAAATTATAACTTTGTCAAATGCATCACAACTATCGACATTCACAGGTACGTTATAACACACATGCTTTCTTCCTCTCTGACAAGACAAAACACATACACACAGGGTTGCCCAAATTTTAAAAAGTTAAAAAAATATTTTCAATCCAAGAAAAGTGATGGTACACCAAATATTTTTTAAAAGGGAATTATGTTCTCAGAACACCTGAAACATAAATGAATTAAATGCACACATAATATAAATAAGAAAGTAACTTGAAGAATATAAAAAAAATTCTGAAGGGAACCAATCAGAGCTTCAATATAATCTATGAATAAAAACATATGCTTACATTATAGTGTACAATTATGACTTAAATGTATTTGGATTTATAAAGAAATTAAAATATAGTACTGCAAGATTATTCAAAGAATATTTTTCAAATGTACAAACAGTAATAAAAACACACAAAAAAGCCTTGGGCAACGTGCAACTTTAAAAATTACTATCACGCCAGCGAAACAATCCTTAACCACTTTTTAAAATGAATTCAGTTATACCATTTAAATACAAAGAGAATATCAAAGATATTAAAACACAAGACTCTTCAGTGTCTGACTCACATTTTGTCCCCAAAACTTTTCACATTTAATAGTTGATTTTGAAGGTATAAACTAAGAATTCTAAATGTTTCTCAAAGTTTCTGTATATTTAGCATACGAATTATACTTGAAAGCTACAATACTAAAACATATACTTCAAACTTAAAAAACAAATCACAAATGTTCACAATTGTGTTCATCTCTATCCTTAAGTAACTAAAAAGCAAGCAAGTCAGTCGTTCAAATCCTTTTCCTCAGGCTTCACATCCATCCTGATGTGAGGTGCACCAAGGTGCACCTTTAGTATTTTGGCACTGACATTCTATTTGAACACAATTCATTAGCAGAAACTGAGAATAATTCAAAAAATCTGCAGCCATTAAAAACGATCCTAGTTCACTTGCTTTCCTAACATGCAATTCTATTATCCTGAAGTCATTTTGGGTTTGCAAGAAGATTTAAAATGGTACAAAATGAAGCTTATATGAAAACTGGTTAAGGATTCAAAGCCCATTAGCTCTGAAATAAGAATCTTGACACCCAGACAAAAATGGGGAGGTATGACTTGCACAAAAATACTTTAAATTATCTTGGTTATGTTCTTCATGATCTTGGCTGTGTTTAGCTGCTTGCAGTGCACGCATGCATCCTCTTTGCTACATCATAAACATACGTGATGTCTGGTCGCTTCTCAGGATCCGGGTTGATGCACATGTTAACTAACTGCCGTAGCTGCAAAGAAAGAAAAGTAACATGATATACGTAAACCAACTTGCTCAGTAACTTTTTCCAAAAGAAATTCTGACTAGTGACATACTTATAAGGAAAGTATATTTTCTGACTAAATATTCCTTTTACTAGGGATATACATACAAGTCTAATTATCAGTAATTTTATAATCAGTCAAGTGTGCTAGGAATATTATTCATTGGGAGATATTAATGTCAAGTGAGAAATATTTCCCACAATCAGAGGCTTTAAATTGGACTGTTACTTTTAAAGTATAAAGACAGCAATCACCAAAGGCAAAAGGTATTTAATTATAAAGCTCCAAGTTAAATGTAGATGTATACATAAGTATTTCATGTAGAACTTACTATATTAGCCTCAATTATTAAGTTCAAATTTTCATAAAAGGCAATTACGGTAGATGACTATCATATACCTTTATCATGAACCATTTGATGTATATATAAAGTTTCATATTCATTTTATATAAGAAAATATTCCTCTAAGCTAAAAATAGTAAACTGTCAGCAAGGTAAATTATAAACTTTATTCTAATGCTTTACTGCCCCAGTTAATAGAGGAGAGAGCTGAGGTTTACTTGTATCATTGACAAAAAAGTGCATCTCAATAAATTAACAAACTATTTTCTCTTATGAACCAGATCCACTGATTAAAAGATGGGATTTTATTATCAATCCTAATCGCCATCGGGTTAGGAAACTGTGTCATTTCATAACATTGCATGCATCTTTCACATACAGGTTCTTTGGTTTTGAAAACTTGCATTAACTTTTCCCAGCAAATACATTAGCACTTAGTAAATTATCAAATTACCATAATTTCTTCATAGTGCTCAACTTTTACCACAAAACAATTTTTCCTACAAAAAATAGGTGATAAAAATTTGTGGGCTGAATTTGTTAATAACAAATTGGCTATCAGGAAGAAATGCTGTTGCGAAGGAAGCCCTGAGGAAAGGAGTCTGACAGCCACAGGGTCAGACTGTGAAGAGTCTGGAGGACTTCGGTGAGGAGACAGGAGGGTGAAGATGGTCCAAGCTGGCTGATGGCCCTATGCAGTCCTATGCCTTTAGGTAAGTCACTATCTACAAGTTTATTTCTGCATTTATTAAATAGTGAGGTTGGCGCAGAGGATTAGCAAGAGTTCTTCTAGCTCTAATTCATTAATTTAGGTAATCCTACCAGAATAAAAATAATGACTCAATTTTAGCCACATTGGGAAATTCAATTATGTTGGATCGGTAATGTTTTGCCCACTGAGAGGGCTTGAAGATTTTAATTTATATTCCTTGCAAAAGAGCAGAGAACAGCATTGAAAACTCTTAAAGAACCTTCAGGAACATAACAACACACAGGCATTTTATTGTGCTGATCTAATAAATCAGGAGGTTGGCATTTTATCTGTTAAAATTAAAAGAAATGCATCCAGTTATGTACAATTCAGAAAATAGTAGGAAGGCACTTATACAATGATACCACATTTTAAAGGATAATGTGTTCTAACAGGTCACCAAGCTGTTTGATATTTTGTTTAGAGAGAAAAATAATAAAGGAAGCAGAAAGGATAGCAGGGAAAGATAAATGTGATTTACAAATTCATTATATTTAACCAAAATATAAGGAGACAATAGCGATTGTTTTACTTCCTAACACTGCCATATCCTTCACCCTAGTTTGGAAACCTCACTTCTGCACAATGTTTTAGAATAAAGGGGATTTTCCAACCTACCAACAATAATGACTAACCCTAAGCTCTCCTCGCATGAAGAAAAACTACCCAAGATTGGAGAGAAAGAATACAATGCAAGTGTAGCTGGAGAAAACAGTGATTCTCTAAGTCTCCAAGTAACAGACAAGAACTACTAACAACAAAAGGAGAAACAGAGAAGTGGTTGGGAGAAAGAGTGAGCAGTGCTTCTCAACTATGCCATAAGAGCAGGTGAAAGGATCAGGAACCTTGAGTAGACAGGCCAGAGCAATGGTTTTGCTTTTACTTTACCATTTTTTCCACCAAAAATGAAGTTTCTTTTGTTATAAAGATTTTTTCTAGAGGAATTATTGGAAGATTTATCACTGTAGACAATTAAATATGTAAAATATGGAATATACATACCTCACATATTTATGAATCTATTGATGTAACTTTTCTTAAACTATTGTTATATAATTAACAATATTTGAAAAGAAAGAAAATCCTACAAAACTAAATATGCTGGGCAGTGACTCTCACTCACTGGCCACACCAGTATTTCTGGAATCTGTGCTTGCGGCATTGATATAGTCATAAGGCAGGTAAAGATTCTATTCCCAAAGGAAGGTTTACTGGCTAGGATGAAGAGTGACAGAATGACTCATTTTCTTTCTTTATTGCCTTACTCTTTCATCCTTCCTTTCTATCCTTCTCTTCCTCTCATCCGTTCAGTCATTCATTCATTCATTTATTGATTCAATAAGTTCTTACGGAGTATTATGCATCAGACACTTTGTTAGGTGGTAAGAATAAATCTTACAGTCTACAGTCTAGTGAGGGAAGACAAGAGCTAGAACAAAGACATAAATATGACAGTGAGATAATAATATAAATTATTCTATATATACTGCAAAGGGCTAAGTACCTCAAGAGATATTTGAGAGACAGAAGTAAAAGATTATGGGTAGCTGTTCAGGAGGGAATCATTACTTTCCTCTTTTTCTACAACCGCACTTATTGAGAACAACCAACTGATGCTCTTCTCTGTTCCAGACTTTATAACCACCATCTTGGATTCTTTGGTATCTACTCAGGTCCACTTGATACAAAGCATCTTGATTGTCTGGTCTTAATCTTCACCTTCCTTCCTTTTTAGTTTCTGCATCCTTGTTCCTTAAAAATGTCCTGTGTCACATTAGAAATGTAAGCAAAAGCTTCTGTCTTCTAAGGTCTGCCACTCCCTTCAAGCTTGGGCATAATGCTTTGCTGATTGATGCATCCCAGTCCTTTCAATCCAGTCAATCCTCAACTTTTGGAGTAATGTCATTCATTTCTAGGCCGTCAACTTCTCTGACATATCTTTTCTAGTGTCCCCTGTAGGTTTGTGTTCATCTGACAATCTCTCTGATGTGTCTTCCTTTCTCATTCTATCTTCCTTATCCTAAACAGCTTCATTTACCCCCATGGATTAGGTAACCACTTAGGTGCTGAGGAACACAAACACAGTTCTTCAGCTCAGACCTGTGGGCAGGCTCCATTAACATATCTTCCACTGCTTTCTGAGTATAATCCACCCATTAATACTCATAGTAAACACGTTCAAAACTGTGATATTGTTTTACCCCTAGCCAGTTCTTCCTATCTCAGATAGCATCTCTAATTTCTTAAGCCAGAAATCAGAAATTCAACAAGACACCTCATCAAATTTCCTCACCACTGGCCTAACAACCACTAACCACATCCTATTTTTTTCAGACTACTTAAGGCTCCTTTTGCCACACAGTCACCACTGCTATGCTCCTGTAATAGTAATCCAACTGACAGTTTTGCCTCCATTTTCTTCCAACCTCTTCAGCACTGCCTAAATTCAAAAGGCTTACTAATTTTCAACTAGAAACATTTCAATCTCTGGAAAGTTTAAGACCCATAGTATTGAAAAATATGGGCCTCTGAAATCTGGCTCCTACTTAACCTTTCTAACCTCATTTCTAGCCCCAAACTTCTCCTCCCTTTCCACAGCCCCACCTTATATTCTAACTATAATAAAATACTTGCAGTTCTGTGCCTACCAAACTCTTTTATGTTCTACATCTTTATGTTCCTCTGCTTAAAGTGCCTCCCTAAACACTCCTGACTCTGGCCTCCCCTGTTCAGCTCACTGTGTGTCGCTTCTCTAAAGCTTTTCTTTATACCTTATTTGCCATACAGAATTTACTCTATTTGACCTCTACTGTGCTCATTAGCTTGTTGAATGAAAGAAAGAAGTGGTAGAAAGGAGTCTAAGAGGTAAACTGGCCTGAGAAAGTTAAGTATGAGGTATATAACAGCAATGGAAAATACTTCTGAATGATTAGGGAATGATGAGGATTAAATAATAAGCCGGGGCGGGGGGAAGAAACAGACTTAAGGAGTTTAGAATGTATTCATGTAGGCAACAGGAAATAAGTACTTAATAGAGGAGGGAGAAATCAGAATAGTTCTGCTTCAGCATATACTTTCCTAGTATAGTCAAAGATAGAACAAAAAGAGACCACCACCACCAGAACACTCAACTGAATTCCTCTGAAGTTTCAGGCAAGCAGAGTAAAACAAAAGGAGTGACCTTGAGAAGGAAAGGGGCCACTGTGAGTTTTGAAGACAATCACATTTGAGATATTGATAGAAATATGAATTCCTGAATCTGGGTTTAATTCTGTATCCAAAAAGTAGACAAGTGGGTTCTATTTATCAAATAATTATTTGGGACTCCACCATATCTAGATTATGAAGATAATGGAGATAGATCAAGTAAAAAGGTGTTAACCTATACCGAACATAATTGTGTTATACAGTTCTCTTAAATATTCATGTTAATTTGGTATTGTTTAAAGGACAGATATTCTTCATTACAAAAATATTATATATTTATATAGAATCTAATATGTTATTAAAGCCTCTGTATCCATTTATTAATTATTTCTAAAGTATTGTAATTCTCCACAATTTCATTTTACAAATGAAGAAACTAAGAATCAGTTGAAAAACTGACAGTCGAACCTGAATTGGAATCTAAGGCATTTGGCCACTTAATAGTGTGGGTCTTTCCCCACCTGCCACTGTGGAGAGCTTGCTTTCTTTTACTTGGTCTTTCACTTTGAAGTCCTCATGAGGCCTAATACAGCTCTGCATACATAACGACTATGAGTAACACTGCTAACTGGTAGAATTTCAAATCATCACCACTATAGAGAAATGTCACTTGGGATGAGGGAACATCTGAGCTCCAATGAGGGGAGATGAGTTCCTAGGTACTA